CGAGAGAAAGAGGTGTCTCTCCGATGTAAGAGATTTATTGGTTGTATTGAAAAATTTTTCCTCCTAAGACAAGTCCCACGCTGCACAAATTTTTGAAGTTGGAAGCGGAAATACTTCTTGATGAATTTTAGTTTTCGTCAAACGTCAATGCCGTTTTGCACTGTTGGCAAAAGAGGGCTTCAAACTGCAACCAATGCAATATACCTTCACAGTGACGCTTTCGCGTGGAAACATTCCAGATATCTGCAGAAATGTCAAGTTCTATAAAAGGAGACCAATGAAAGGATTACTGAATGAACACAAATGGCAAAAAAATTACAAAAAACATGGCGTTGCCATCGCTATGACAACGGCTATCGCTAAAAAATGTTCATTCTTGTTCTCGTCGTTACTTTCGTTCTTATATTCAATATTATTGTAAATGGAAAATGTGTATAACTAACTACTGTCTAACTTTCTTCTATTCTAGTGGGGTTACTGAAAATTAACTAGTTGAAATCCTCAATTGTCTCTTACCAAAGACGAACGGATTGCATTACACACGCCCATCTAATCCAAACTTACATCTCCACTTTTGGAACATCCTAATCGGCGACTGTCCATCTGTAACGGTAGACAAGAAAGCTCTTCCCTTGAATAACCTCCGTATAATTCATAAGACACAGTGTAAGAGCGCACAGTGCTAAACTTGAATGGCGGAGGTTCCCAGGTGAAATTGACGCTGAAAGTGTTGCTTTCTTCGTCTTCGAGAAACGAACCTACACGTAGGTTTTGCACTTGTATTTCCTGGTTGTCAAGCTCTTTGAAAAGAAAAAAAGCATAAAAATAAAAGAAATGTTCCCGTCAAGCACCCACGAATACCCAAACTTTAAGTGTTGCAAGAAATTCTGAAAAAGGATCGTTTAAGTAGAGAGTGCAGTCAGTTGTCTCTCAATGCAAAATTTTGGTGCACTAATTACTGCTCTTCGTCTCCTCAAGCGTGATATCTTGGTTTCTTATTTTTTTGTCGATATTTTTTGGGGAGTACTCAGTTAGATTTTGAAGAGGTTTGAACGGTACCTTTTAATTC